CTAATAGCAGTTGTCTTTCAAACTGTTTAGCCTTAAGCAATTTAATATATAGTTCCTGGCATGATTACAAATACTTATTGTCYTTATATTTGTTAACTCTCAAAAGAATTGGTATAAATTTCATTATCAGCGGGTTTTATCGGGACAGTGTTTATTGTACACGAGTTTTGGTAAATAGACTAATAGCATCGAGACCACCATGATCTTGAACATCCTTGCGCACGTACAAATATTTACAAATTTCTTTTTCTAATAATAGCTTCTAGGCATATTTTGTCAATCAACATAATGTATAAAAAATAAAATATTATTCTTTAGTGTTAGAATGATACTCACAACACAATGTCCTTTGGGACGGAGGGCATGGGGGTTGGGGTATAAAGGAGGGGAGGGGTGGGGGCGATTGGTTGCACAAAAGAGTTTAGTAAATTTTACACTTAATTTCAAAAACGATGAGCGGCATGCAATTGTCAAAGGGGGATATTCCGCGACCGAAGGGGGCCATGGTTACGCTGTTTGACATAGGAAATATTCAATTGTTAGGTTTACTCGCGTGAAAATGGARACTAAATCGTGAAGCCAATGATGACCACAGACAACCTCACGGTATAAATAAGTTATTATTTCCCATCAAGCAGCAAAACCCATGTCTCCTTTCGGTTGAGCAATCGTCATATTCGACATTTTAACCAACCACCTTTTTTGAAATAGGTAAATGGAGGAATAAAATAAAAAAAAACGCTTTTTTAAACACACTAATGTGTGAAAGTCACCTGTTTCTACACACAGTCTTGACCTTTGTAAAACGTACGTGATCCACGCTAGCACTACTAGCGTGGAATACAAAAAAGAAGATATATTCTCTGACACATTATTGTGGTTCATTGTCAATTTACGCTGATCAAAATGACAGAATTCATTGAGTGATGGGTCGTGATGGGATGATTTCTTTGCAAGAGAGAATAATCCAATGTTGATGTCACCTTTCCAGGAGGAACAATTTCTATCTAGTGTTTTCTTTGACATTATGACAGGTATGAGTATTTTATGTTTTCGTACTAATTAAATTATTAAATTTCTTTTTCGGTGTGAATTTAACTTTTAAATTTAACTCTGAAATCACCTGACGCGCGGTACATCTTCCTGTAAGCCAAAAATAATCCCAGTTTTTATTTGTAACAATTTATAAAAAATTCATACAGAATTGTTTTAAAAAGTTTCTGCTCGTAAAAACATATATCTATATAAAAATTCTTTATAAAATTTCATAGTAATTAAAATATGGCTTGCTTACTATTTCATGTAGTTTTTTGGGTTTTTTTTCTTCAAAGTTTGATATCAAAGCTAGAGTTGTCTTCTGTTCCTTCTGTTGTTGCAACGCTTTCTGCTATCGCATTGTTTTCAAAAAATTTACACCGCTCGTTTAAAATGTCTACCTTTTGCTCTAGTTTGTCTATAATKGCTTGCATTGCTGTCTCRCGRTCTTCATAGAATGTCTGAAAACTTTCCACTTTTTCATAAATTTTAGTCAGAAGTTGTGTAGACTTATCTTGTTTGTAAACTTCTTGGGTTTGCTGACTGGCTGWGGTCATCTGAAAAGAAAAGACGAAGTTTACTAATAAAGATCAAGTCTACACTCTCTACTATCTATGTAAGCTCTGACATGAACCGGAAATGACGTACCTTGAACAATAAGCTAATGCCTTCCCAACCAATCCCAACAAAGGGATAGAAGTCTTGTCCTCCTTTGATTCTTCCCTCGCCTATGACTCGACCATTGAGGGTGAATAATACAGGAATTGTGCCATCACGTGACAGGCCATCATACAATAATTTACAACCAATCAGATCGCCTCTGTGAGCCATAGCGCCTGAGTGGAATGATGGACATATATGCCGTGAAAAAGTGTTTAAAAAGTTTAAAGTTAGTTATATGTTATCGAATGAAGCTTCGGATGAAAAGAGAGACACGATCACAAATGCTAATTTTGATGAATGAAAGATGCTTCATGCATGTTGCTTGAATTGAGYTTTTATTAGAAAATAACAATTTACAGTTTCTGTTTTGCTCAGCTGATTATGAACCCGGGAATTTTTTACTGAGATAAGGTAAATAACACTCTGTTCTTTGCACCGTAGCACTCAGCATTACAAGTTTCTTTGTGTTTGCGCGTTAAACTGGATCACATAACGACGTAATCACGTCGTAAACGCAAGCGTAAAGCACATTGAAGGATACCATAAAGGAATCAAGACGAGCGAATGATTAGTTTCCTTCGCAGCCTCCCCTTTTGACGTGCTTCCTGTCTCTGGGAGGGACAGGAAGCCCGACGAAAGTGTAGGCTGCAAAGGAGACTAGCTTATGATATAAAACACCAAAATTAACATAATCGTAATACCAAGCAAAAGCCAACAATAAAAAAAGAAAGTTTAACGTCCGTATTTACCTTCGATGCCAATTTTCTGGTTATTAGTGTCAAATATTTTCCCCTCRTCCACGTGATATGCAGCAGAGTTTTCGTGTATACCAGCAGAAACATGAGGACTGGGCCAGTTTCCAGGAACTACGCCTATRACAATGAGACGACGCTCGACACTTTCTTGAATGAGAACCTACAGACATGCAAAATGAATTATGATTAAGGATATAACATGATAAGAAAATTTATTTAGAAACTTCAAGGATCTTCAGTGAATGCTTGAGCAGTTGCTGTAGTATTGAGTGCAAGAGAACTTAATATCTTTTCCTTTTTGTTCTCTGCTTTAGCGCTTCACGAGTCACACAAACGGAAGTTAGATTATTTCCGGCTATTGCCCAGCCACATCAGACAAAGAAGACATTTCTATAGTGGTAGAGTTAACTAAAGAGAGTTGAGTTAGGATGTCTAACTAACCTCAAATCCTGGCCAGTTTCGTGAAAATGGTTGATAATAAACTGCTCCATGATARCGGGTTTCTCCTTCTACAGAAAACCTGCTGCATTGAGCACAGTCGCAAGAAACGTACGTCAACTGATGACCTTTGATGTCTATTCCTCGCGCGTTCCAACTCTGAGGAGTTTATAAGATAACAATTATCGATATTTCTGGCAATTTATTTAGCATTATTAAGTTTTAAGTAAGTTAAGTATACCGTATTATTTGCCTTTTTTGTGTTATCTGTAAAATCCTCTGGTGCTTGTAGTGCAGGTTTATGCTTGTCGTTTGTAAACACTTGGTTGGCGATGTGACCAATGAGCTGACGATTGCCTTCTGTTTCTCGGAACACCCAATCCATTTTATTGGATTCTTCAGTAGAATATAATGATAATCTTAGTAAGGATTGACTGAGGTGGTCTATAAAAAGCATAATGAACTTCGGAACAAAAAGTTAGGTTTTCCACATCTGATTAAATAAGAAAAAATGGATTGTCTTCATGTCACATGAATAGAGTGCTTACACTATGACCATGAAAKAAAATCTAAATAGTTCTAACAAATAGTTCKTAGAGTCATTTTCATCCGTCTGYGAAATAGGAATTGTACTATTAAATACTATTACCCSYCATTAGCTCCCAATAATTTAACTTATGACATGCGACAAACAAATTAGGCAAAAACGGTTTTGATTTTGCCTTTTGGTAGTAGCCTACTACACCCTAATAGTTACTATAAACACTGACTTGTAGTAATTGTTTCACAGAAGGTTGAAAATGATTATAAGTTAGTAATCCTCGGGAACTCAGAAGTTGCTAGTTGCGCCGGCACACAATACACATGTGGTTYCGAGATGCCGAGATCAAAGAGATTCATGAAAAATCAAAAAGGGAACAAAAATTATAGAGACAAMGCCCGCGTGAGGCTCTAATCTTGCACAAAATGTTGGTGCAGACATAATCAATGTTGTTWCGTCTTACCTGCCAGAGGAAATGCATAACCATGTTTGGAGAAATATTCCGCTTGAAGATCGAACACAAGGCAGTCGAAAAACTATAAATCGAAAATCCTCTTTTACTGCCGAGCACTTTTTAATAACAAGCAGTAATAATGAATGGTTAAAAAGACAAACGTACAATACTTACAGACGCTGTATCGCTGGTTTGTTGTCTCTAGAAATTAAAACAAATTAGAATAAATGTTTAGATTAAAGCCCGCGAGAAATTTTCGCAGCCTTCGCCGGTTTTTGAATCAATCAAATAGCAATAGATCACTTTTTAAAACAAACCAAAACTATTTCAAGTTCTTGGAAAGACGTGCACCCTTAATCTCTAGTTTATAATAATAAGGATGATTCACTCGATGAGAATGAGCTCAGTGGGTGGTAAAAATCAGCGAAAATGAATGGAAGGCGACGAACGCAAAGACAACAGATGAAAACCTCTTACCTTACGTGAATACTTATCATCGTCGCTGACACAGCACTGGCTGCATACGATGTACTTGTATAACCGTGATACAATTATCAAAATGAAGGAAATAATGTTGAAAGGGACAGGAACGGGATGATAATTCACATATGTTCTTATTGTTGTCGCTCTTCTATAAGACCACTCGTAGAACGCGTTATCCTASAAAATAACAAAGCATTTTACTGTAGGCACTTTAAAAGATAAGCCACACTTGCTGAAAATTTCCAGAATTCCTTCTTTGKGCTCCAGCCGGCCGGGCACAGTTTAKTAGTAGCTACATAATTCAATAGGAAACAAGCTGAAAAATACCTCTCAATATTATGAGACCGTAACAAGGAATAAGATAGAGTACTGTGTTACGTAAAGAAATCAGACTAAACACTACTAACCTCGACAGCCTGGTAAGTGTTTGATAATAAAGCAATCATCATATTCATCAGCATAACCACAGCCAGTAGTAGAAACAAACCATACAACAGATGAGCAAGAAAATCAGATGGTTCGTCGGTTGATTGGAGAGGATTAACATCGGGCTCGCCCAAAAGGGACCAAAAAAGGTGCCTTGCAGAACCCCACCAGCTGAAATCATTATTAACATTTATGAAAAGGATCAGAGGAAATGTTTTACCACAAGACGCCTAAGGGGGTGCCTTTCAGAACCCAAGGTATAGCCCGATTTTGAATGTGACTTTAGCAACTCTATGTCGATCACATGTTGGGTATGCATTCAACGCTTATATGTACTGAGTATGAATGCTTCGGCCTGTTGACTGGAATTAAAGTAGCGTTGTTCACACTTACCAAGCTATCTCTTCTTGCCCTACTTCACAAAATCTGATAAACATAAAAGCAGTTACGTTTTATAAATGGTTATAAAATCATCAATGAAAAATTGACTGCGTTCTCGGGCGACTACCTGTTTTTCAGAACATCAGTATCCGCGGGGTACTGGGTACTATCATAGCATGATGTCCTCGATTCAACTGTTCTATTGCTTAAATTTTCAAACTCGTCTCACTTCGATGTAAAAGGTACCGTTAAGGGCCGCTTCATACTATGACATAAGCAGAAACCGAAGCAGAAGCTTGTTCACACTTGACAGAAGCATGTTCTTCTGCTTATGATGTCCCGGATCACACTCATACTCTTTCAACATAAGCCGCTTATGAGAAACAGAAGCAGAAGAAAATGAAAAAAAAAAATGTTTATTTTCATCTGCTTCTATCTCTGCTTCTGTTTTCCCCGGTTCACACATACAAACTACACTTCGTCTGCTTCTGCTTATGTCACAGTGTAATCCGGCGCTAACCGGTTAAGATGACACAGGGAGCTGGCCATTGAGAAACTATTGTAAATGTATCAATGTATTTGACTATGTTCCTTACCCGTGCATAGTTGAGTTCTTTCCTTTATTGTACGACATCTCAGCAACGTAAACTTTGGTGATAGCRAGTGAAAATGCCAATATGGCAGCTAAAAACTCCCCGAAGATTGTAATAACAGCACCAAAGATTTGAAATAAAGCTATCTGAATAGATCCAGTATTTTTATTGGTTTCCATAATGTGCCCAAATACCCTTAGAGTCAGGAACATGGTGTTTAAACCGTAGAAATACCCTGCTATTGCTAACAGACGGTTATCGGATACTGGTGAGCCCTCGGCCCATGTGAT